AAGCGTGTTTTTTTGGGGTCATATGGGGTGTGTTGGGGGCGCGGGGGGTGTTATGAGGGGGTGGTAAAAAAAAATAAAAAATTCCCGGTTTGAATGTTCGGGCACGTAGGTACACGTGTCCGAGGCCCAATGCGCGAATTCCGTTTTTCGGAATTCGACGCGAAGCCCCCGTTTTTGTGTTGAACGCGATTTAACGGGGGTTTGGAGACCCGTTAAATGGGTGTTCGGGCGTTGAATTTCGCCCGTTCTCCGTTGAAAAGATACACAGCCTATAGCTCTAGCACGTGGCGAGCAACTAAAGCAACTACCTATCAATCCGGAACTCAGACTAAGTAGTAACCTCACTCAGTCACATGCAAGCCAAACCACAAAGGTAAGTACTCTCACCATCCCAAAGTATACCTGAACAAACAATAGTTCATGACCTTTCAATGATTTAATCCCTTATACTTAGCTTACATAAGGCATACGGTCAGGACACCCAAACTTATGGAATAAACCTTACCTTAGCCAGACCTAAAGTCGGGTCACCCAAACTTATGGAATGAGCCCAACTTAGCCAAAGTATACACAAACAGAGGGCACAACAACTTTTCTCTTCTTTGGGCGCATGACTAGACCCTTCTAATCGCCCTGAACTGTTTAAGATATCTAAGTTATATATACATGTCTTCCCTTTGTCTTCTAAGGCTGCATACTACTGAACTAACTTAAGTTCAGCTTGCCCCAACTTATCATCAATCTGATTCTTAATTATGCACTCTTTAAGTTGTGATAGGCTATAGTCTGACCACCTAAACTTATAGAACAGTCTGATTAGCTCGTTCTTAGATAAAAATAATAATAAAATATAGTCTAGTTGTAACCTTTGGGTTCCAGCATGTACGAGTCTTTGAGTCAGAACACCTGAACTTACAGAACAGTCTGGCTCTCTGCCTGATTAATTTCTGTCTGATCCATTCTGTGTGTGGCATTGGGCTAGATCACCTGAACTTACAGAACAATCTGCCCTTTGTCAAGTTCATTTTCTCAGAATAAAGCAAGAAGAGACTGAGCAACCTAAACTTATAGAACAACTCGCACCTCCTCGTTCAGAAAACAAATAAACAGAAGAAAACCCAAAATAAACAATGCGGCCAAAGCACCTGAACTTACAGAATGCACTTGGTCCCTGAAAAGTCAACAACAATCATCCCTCACAAGCCAGAGTAATCAGGTCACCTAAACTTATAGAGCAGCCTGACTCTTCACACAAAACCGCAGTACCGAGTTTCCCCAAACTTATAGGGACATCCCAACCTCTAGAGTAATCAGACCCCCTAAACTTATAGAAGGGTCTGACGCTCCATGCAAATAAAAATAAACAAAGCACTGACTCTCCCCAAACGTATGGGGACCTCCCAGCCGTAATGACACAGTCAATCTTCAAGCAAAACAACCCTTCATCCTGCCTTTCCCCAAATGCAGTTCCTTTCAGCAATCTGAGTTCACACAATCAATAAAGTTGAAACTGAAACTTGAACAGACATTCCTTTACTTAGTCTTGTTAAGTGTCCTGAAGGTCAAACCAAAACTTAGAGTAGGGTTGCACACCATATATTCAGTCAGAGATGCAATGGGTGATACAGGTAAGGGTTATATCTGGGTTTATAGAGGGAAAAACAATAGATACATGTCAGTTTCCTGCCTTCAGAGCTCCTCCTGAGTTCCGACAGAGCTCCCGCAATCGATGGGTGGACTCCCCACAGAGTCTTGGTGCGGTCCTACGTGTTGCAATCCCGCCTGCCGCCTTCCTCTCAGAACCAGGGACTAGACTTAGAGTAAGAAGGGTAGAGGTAGGAGATTTCAGTTTCTCAGATCCAAGAGGTGTGCTCTCAGACTCGCAGGAGAGGGCATTGGTACCTTCAGCGCCTGAGGGCCCCGCAATGGCAGCCACAACGTGACAGCTTGGTCAAACTCTGAAGTCAAACTGTCGCGGTCATCCTCCTAACGACTTCTCAGCTCGCAGCACCGCCTCCCTAGCAGCTCAGCCGTCCCCTTTTTTCATCACACCTCCGCTCCCTGCCAGTGTTCAGCAATAACAACACTAATCACTCTCAGCAACGGCAACCGTAACGTATGCTGGTGTCAGATCAGCAGACCGTCGGCCTCGCAGACGGCCCACTTCGCCCGGTAGGATGAATGACATATCAACCAACATGCAAGTTTTCAACCCTCCGTTGTTCGCTCCTCATTACTCTGTGCTTCGGAACATGCGGTGTAACGGCTGAACAGGTGAGTCTGCCTTGCTTTCTCCAAGCGGCCGCATGGGCAGTGCATCGACTGACGGTTAGGCCTGTACCTTCGTGGCTAATATATTTGTTGCACAACATTGCTTTCTCCAAACGGCCTCATAGGCAGTGCACCGACAAACGGTTAGGCCTGTATCTTGAGATTGAAATACTATACCTTTACCAACTCGTGTGCAATTGATAACAGATGCACTTCAACCACATAACTGTATTCAAACATCAAATTTTAAACCACCAAACTCTTTTGTACCTCCTTTTCCTACAATATCTGAAATTTCTTAACACTTCTCACTAAATGAAAAACAACATCTTGCTTTCATTTTACTTGCTCAAGCATTATTAAATACATGGTTATCACAAACATCAGATTAAAATACAGAAGAATCAATCCCACTAAAAAATCTATCAGAAATTATAAAAAATCAATAACTTCTCATGTTTCTTACTGGTGAAGGTGAGACTGGAAAATTTCACATTATTTCTGCTGTTCAAATGTTTGCTGATAAATGACAACACCCAAAAAGCATCACAAAAACCACAATGACAGGAAAAACAACATTAGGAATCTCGGGTACGACGTTTCACAACTAAGTAGGAATGCATTATCT